ATAATTACCACACTTGGTTAATGAGGAATGGTAGCAATTCATTCTCTCAGCTTCTCTGGGATGATGCAGGTGCATGCTTTGAATGAGTATGCAAGATTTCTCTGGAAAACCCACAGGAGTAGGATGCCATGAGTATAGTGTCACGCCTCAGAGAAGAGGAGCAGATGTGGAGTAATCCATGGCCAGGAGCCTGTTTCTTTTGCCATGATGTTTGTCACTTTGAAAAATCCAGGGGGCCTAAAGGACAGTCTCAGCTTTACCCTCTGAGATACCTTGACTTTATCCATGAGTTTTGAAAACCTCACAACTTCTGACTCTCCTGTAGTGAAGGGGAGGCCTTTGCTTATTATTTTTTAACAAATATTTATTTTCTCTCCCTTCCACCTCCCCCTCACTACTTTGGGAGGAAAAAACCTCCAACAAAACCAAACCCTTATAACAAATATGGCTAGCCAAGCACAACAAATTCCCACATCAGCCATGTTCAAAAATACATGTCTCATCTTGCATCTCCAAATCTTAACCCCCTGCTTCCTTTATTTGGATTGTTTCTCTGAGTGTTTATAAAACACTACCTTTAAGACTGAATTTTTTCTTTTCCTTATGATTTAAAAAATTACTGTTTCTTCCCAATGACTTTTGCCTTTACCCCTATACAACATTCCCTGGTTACAAAGAGGTACAGTTAAGCAATACAAATTTATACATTGCCCATGTCTGACAAGGTGTGCCTTCTTCTACGCCTCTAGCAACTTACCTTTCTGTCAAGAAGATGGTCATGTACCTCACTGCCAATCCTCTGAAGATAAGATTGGTCTCTTTGGTGACCAGATTTCCAATGTCTTTCACATTTGTATGCCTTCACATTATTGTGGTCACCATGTAAATAAGACACTATCTTCTAACCATTATGACCTTCTCAAAAGAATAAGGCCATGGGGTATATATTCCTCCAGCTTCCTACCAAGTTCATTTTGTGAAGATTTCAGGCCTCACAGACCAACTACCCAGGGCCAACTGACCATTCCTTTTTTTTTCTTTTTAATTTTTTCACTTAATCATCTTTAATTTTTTTCCAATTATATGTAAAGATAGTTTTCAACATTCATTTTGTAAGATTTTAAGTTCCAAATCTTTCTCTTTCCCTTCCTCCCGTCCATCCTTCCAAGACAGCAAGCAATCTGATATAGGTTATACATATACAATCATGTTAAACGTATTTTCACATTAGTCATGTTGTGAAAGAAGAATCAGAACAAAAGAGAAAAACCACAAGAAAGAAAAAACAAAAAAACAGTGAAAATAATATGTTTTGATTGGCATTCAGACTGTATATTTCTTTCTCTGGATGTGGATAGCATTTTCCATCATGAGTCTTTTGGAATTGTCTTAGATCATTGTATTGCTGAGAAGAGCTAAGCCTATCATAGTTGATCGCTATACAATGTTGCTGTTATTATGTACAATGTTCTCCTGCTTCTGCTCACTTCACTCAGCATCAGTTCATGTAAATTTTTCCAGATTTTTCTGAGATCTGCCTGCTCATCATTTCTTATAGCACAATAGTATTCCATTACATTCATATACCACAGCTTGTTCAGCCATTCCCCAATTGATGGGCATCCCTTCAATTTCCAATTCTTTGCCACCAGAAAAAGAACTGCTATAAATATTTTTGTACATGTGGGTTTTTTTCCTTTTTTATGATCTCTTTGGAATATGGACCTAGTAGTGGTATTGCAATATCAAAGGGTATACACAGTTTGATTGCCCTTTTGGTCATAGTTCCTAATTGTTCTTTGGAATGGTTGGATCAGTTTATAGCTCCACCAACCATGCATTAGTGTTCCAATTTTCCCACATCTTCTCTCACATTTATCATTTTCCTTTTCTGTCATATTAGTCAATCTGATAGGTATAAAGTGGTACCTCAGAGTTGTTTTAATTTGCATTTCTCTAATCAATAGTGATTTAGAGCATTTTTATATGACAATAGATTGCTTTAATGTCTTAACCTGAAAACTGCTTGTTCACATCCTTTGACCATTTATCAGTTGGGGAATTACATTCTTATAAATTTAATTTAGTTCTCTACATATTTGAGAAATGAGGCCTTTGTCAGAAACACTGGCTGTAAAAATTGTTTTCCATCTTTCTGCTTTCCTTCTTATTTTGGTTGCATTGGTTTTGTTTGTTCAAAACCTTTTTAATTTAATGTAATTGAAACTATCCATTTTGATTTTTACAATGTTCTATATCTCTTGTTTGGTCCTAAATTCTACCCTTCTCCATAGATCTGACAGGTAAACTATTCCTTGCTCTCCTAATTTGCTTATGGTATCATCCCTTATATCTAAATCATGTACCCATTTTGACCTTATCTTGGTATAGGGCGTGAGATGTTGGTTTATGCCTAATTTCTCTTATACTATTTTCCAGTTTTTCCAGCAGTTTTTGTCAAAGAGTGAGTTTTTATTCCAAAAGCTGGAGTCCTTGGGTGAATCAAACAGAAAAGCTTTTTCTGCATCTATTGAGACAATCCTATGATTTCTGTCAGTTTTGTTATTGATATGGTCAATTATACTGATAGTTTTCCTAATATTAAACCAGCCTTGCATTCCTGGCATAAATCCCACCTGGTAATAGTCTATTATCCTGGCGATAAATTGCTATAATCTCTTTGCAAATATTTTATTTAAAAATTTTGTATCAATATTATTAGGGAAATTAGTCTATAATTTTCCTTCTCTGTTTTGACTCTTCCTGGTTTTGGTATCAGCACCATATTTGGGTCATAAAATGAATTTGGTAGGACTCTATCTTTGCCTATTTTTCCAAATAGTTTATATAGTATTAGAATGAAATGTTCTTTCAGTGTTTGATAGAATACACTTGTAAATGCATCTGGCCCTGGAGATATTTCATTGATGGCTTGTTCAATTTCTTTTTCTAAAATGGGGTTAAGTATTTTATTTCCTCTTCTGTTAATCTGGCCAATTTTTATAAATACTCATCCACTTCACTTAGATTGTCAGACTTATTGGCATAGAGTTGGGCAAAATAGCTCCTAATTATTGCTTTAATTTTCTCTTCATTGGTGATGAATTCACCCTTTTCATTTTTGATACTGGTAATTTGGTTTTCTTCTTTCTTTTTTAAAATCAAATTAAGCAAAGCCAACTGGCCATTTTCTAGTGAATTTGTGAGGTTTGACAGCAGGATCAGCCTGAGTCTATTTAGGTTTGTAGACATCTTCCTACTGTCTTGTTTTCTCTTAAAATTATTCCCTCCACTTAGCTCAAACACCCGGGAAGATGCATTACATACAACAGCAGTCCTTACTCTGACTCCATTTTCTGGGTTGTGCGGAGGCTTCCATAATATCACTCCAGGTATCTGGGATGTGGAGGAGAGTAGGAAAAAATTGCTTGTACTTTGCTCATAGCATGAAGAAACAATTCTCTTATTTGTAAGTGGCTGTGAACATCTAAAGTAAAGGAAAACAGAGAGACACTCAGGGGTCTCTTCTTGCAGAAGTTTAATAGAACTCCCTCCAGGTGCAATGCAGGTGGTGACTTACCTAAATTTAGGTTTTTTTTAAAAAAAGGTCCACATGTACATGCACTCATAGAAACAGTCCATTTAATGAAAACAGAAAATCTTTCATTTCCACTGAAGAGAGAGAAGGCATGCATCTTTCACATTCTCTAAGACTTAAAGACAGGCAAGATATAAGTTGTTCTGGAAGTCTGTAGATGTGATCGTTTAATACAGTGAAATCTCCATTTTGACTAATTTGGGAGAATGAGTGACTTAAAAATTACTTTTAAAAAAGAAATAACAATCTTATTACTCTCAAGCACACAAAAGTAACTGAAATGAAGCTAAAAAATTGCCCAAAGATGTCTTGAGGGGACCTATTTTATGAAGAGATAAAAATAGTTTATAATGAGCATGTCAATTATTTGCAAATCAAGCTTCTAAAGCTTGGAAGATTCTTGAAAACAGTTCCCTTTAAATAGTTTAAACATTCTTCCTCTCTTGAAATCTTGTTTTCATCATTTATGTACTGAGTTTAGCTACTCTTTTTAAAAAATTAAATATACTTTTGATTATGAGCTTAATCAGTAAATATAAACATCTCAATTCACAAAGAACAAAGAAGACAACTGTACATACAACTCTGAACTTTTGTTGTAATTTTTTAAAAAGTATGTTAAATTTAACAAACAAGTAACACAGTTATCCTGTTTATTTGCCATTTTGAGATTTTTTTTTCTTCTGTATATTTAAAATATTTTATTGATTTTTTTACATCTTAATCACTGCCCACTAACTCCCTTCCCCAAACAGAAGCTCTCACTTGTAACAAGTATGTCAAATCAAGCAAGATATTTCAACATATTGGCCATGTCTGAAAATATCTGTCTCTATGTCTCCTACTGCTCCTCTTGTAGGGTGTTGTCAAATTGAAATAGAAATGAATCTCTGAGGGCCATATATCGACTTAGAAAATCACAAATTAACCTTATCTATGTTGTATTTTTATTTATTTTGTTAAACCTATCCCAATTACATTTTAATCTGGTTTGAGTTTCACTGGGAAATCTCGGAGGCTGCTTTTGTCCTTCAGGCCTCTAGTCTAACACTTCTGATAGTCCATCAATCACCTCTCTGCCAGGAGGCAGGGGGCAGGAGGCCTGAGGCATCATCAGCCTTCTGAAGTCATGATTGGTTACTCAGTTAAACCATTCTTTATAAATTGTGGGAAAGTCAACTTCAACTTGATTGAACATGTTTTCCAAATTAGCAGTCGAAATGTAGAGATTTTACTAGAAGTTCAATTTTGCCTTTTCTGAATCAATGGTAGCTATCAAAACACAATGTTGAAATTTGAATTGATCACCCATTATATAACACTTTGAGCATTTCCTTTTAGTCTTTCTATAGCTAATTTTCTTGTACATTGTTAAATAAATGAATCTCTTTCTTTGCTTAAGGGATTTAAGGACAATGTCTATCGACAGAGAAGAAAGTATTTTGTGGACCTGGCCATGAGTTATAAATAGTAAGTATCCATATAATTCTTTCTTGTGGCTTTGTTGCTGGCTAGTTAGAAATACACACACACTTACTCACACACACACACACACAAACACACTCTCACACCATGCTGTGTTAAATGAGAACTGAGTTCTCTTAGCTTTTAGTTTTCTAGAAGTATAAGTGAGCCTTTACATACTAGCCAGCTCCATGGAGACTCTAAGTGCCAGCACTGATGCTTGACATCCTGGAGTAATTGTAAAATAATGATGGCTATGGGCCAAGTGCCAGATGCTACATATTCAACATTGTGTTCCCAGTTCCTCTAAGGTGAGGTGTTTTGTAAGCCTCTGCATGACTCTCCATCATTCTCTTGCCCTCCCTTGGCACTTAATGTAGGGTTTGAATAGGCAGCTCTGGAAATAGGTTCTACTTTTGTTTTTGCATAGATGTTTTAGTCTTTCTCTTTCTCCTAACCCCTTCCCTTCCTTCCAAGGAAAGCCAGACTATACCAAAGGAAAAGTGCTAGACACTGCCCCCCCCAAGATGGCGAAAAGGTGCCACAGACAGAATAGAAAACAAAATTTCTAATCCCTTAAATCAAAGGGAAAATTCCTATAAGGAGGACTTTTAGGGTGGTGGTGATAATTCAAGAAATGTGTGGAAAAATGAACCCTTACATATCTACCATAACATTGCTCTATGTTAAGTAGGGAATCTTAGATATGGAATGAAGTCAGTGTACCTTGCTAAGTGGTAAGGTTACAAGTATTAATTATGACTAGTACAGATCTTTTAGATAGGTTTCCTCAAAGATCATAGCAGAGAGGGAAATAATCTATTTTGAAATTTAAACAAAAATTGAATTCTTACCTGCATATGTGCAGACCACTATAAAAACACTCTTTTTCTAATCTGATGTATGAAGACCTATATTATCTGGTTATAGAAACCACTTAAATCTGTAACATATATAGTGTAGGTTCATTCTTTCTAGGCTAGAAAGCAGGAATGTAGTAATGTAGCAAAGTGAGAAGGACAAGTTTCTGTTACCATTGAGAACATAACACTTGTCTCTATGTGAGATACCTGCCATTTTGGACAGAATGTGGAGGAGTCTTAACTCAGTCCTTTGTCTATCAATGACTTCTACTCATCCAAACTTTCTTTTTCTCTTTTCCTTTCCCATGAATTCTCCGTACTATCAATTGTAGCCAGGGTAGCATCATCATGGATAGAGGAGTGGACTTTGAGTTAGTAAAACTTTGATTCCAATCTTGCTTCTGATACTTCCCTGCTGTGTGACCACGGGATGGTTCCTCTTACCTCCAATCTCCCTGGTTGAAATTTGTAAAAGAGAAGTGAAGACAGGCCCTGATACTTATACCTTTTTAAGCAAAATGGTATACAATGATGCACTCATTGGGAAACAAATGCCCCTAATGAAAAAAGTCTTTGTTTTAATGAAGAAGATCTAGCAATGGGATTAAATTCTATAAAGAGGCAATGGGAAAAAAAGATTACAGTCTTGAATACTTTAAGTATCCTGATTTAATCTGTTTGGTTATTCCCTCTACCAACATAGTCTCTCCTGCCTTAGTCAAGACTTTTCATGAGTTACTGTGACCAAAAATAATTCATTAAGCAGTGGTCAACTTTATGATGATGAGCATCTAGACATAAACAGTCCATTTCAGAGTCTGTTCTCAAAGCTTTTCTAGTTTAGTAAGACCTGTTTATTTTGTGTTTCATTGACATAGCTTTTGAGAATCCTGATCACCTCCAGATCATCAAGAGTCATCAGAATCAGACTTTAGAGAAAGAAGATAATGCATATGAGTTTTTAAGGATCTGAAAAGATCTGGGTTGTAGAATCTAATTTCCTGAAGACTTTTTAAGATAACTTAGTATTGCTTAAGGTAAATACCAGCCTTGGGGCAAGAGGAAGAGTCGAGCTGACCCCAGAGAACTTTTAGTTGTTCATATTATGATATGAGTATGGATAAAGGATCAATGAATAGCCTGGGGATTCTTGAGACCTTTCTCAAAGATACGAAATAGTTCTGAAGAATACAATGGGAAAATGAAAGAAGATCAGAAAAAAAGTTAATATTGTAGTTTGGGGCCTAGGATAGGAGTTTTTAACTACTTTATGTGACATGGATCCTTCAGGCAGTCTGGTGAAGCATATGGATGCTTTCTTAGAATAATATTTTTAAATGCATAAAGTAAAATACATAGGATGACAGAGGGTCATTGTTTTCTAGCAGAGTCTAGAAACAGGAAGGAAATAGCATGAGACCATAGGGTGTCATGAGATATATGTGGCATCTGGTGGCACAATAGACAGAGCTGGGCATGGAGTCAGGAAGACCTGATTTCAAATCTGTCCTCAGATACTTACTAGCTGTGTGACCTTGGACATGTTACTTAATCTCTGCCTTCTTCAGTTTTCTCAACTGAAGATTTGGATAATAAGAGCACTTACCTCACTGGGTTGTTGTGAGGATCAAAAGAGATAATCATTGTAAAGCACTTAGCACAGTGCCTGGCACATTGTAGGAAATATATATGCTTATTGCCTTCCCTGCTTCCTTTCCTGGTAAAGTCTAGAAGCAGGAAGGAAATAGCGTGATAGTATAAGTGTTAGAAAGCATGGAGTTGTAATAGACTTAGGAGCCATCTAATACACCTCTCTCCTTTTATAGATGAGGAAACAGAGCTACATATATTAAAATCATACAGAGGACTAAGAAGGGGATGTCACTTGAGTTTGTTTGTTTTTGTTTTTTTAGGCAATTGGGGTTAAGTTACTTGTCCAGGGTCACACAGCTAGTAAGTGTCAAGTATCTGGTCTGAGACCAGATTTGAACTCAGGTCCTCCTGACTTCAGGGCCGGTACTCTATCCACTGCGCCACCTCGCTGCCCCATCACTTGAGTTTTAACCAAGTAGATTCAAGGGTAGAAGTGGAGAAAAGCATGGCATTTTACAAATTTGGAACACCATGTGGTCCAACTTCCTTATCGAAAATAAGGTAAATAAGAGGTAAATAAGATAAATGAGAGGTGAATAAGGTAAATAAGATAAATGAGAGGTGAATAAGGTAAATAAGAGGTAAATAAGATAAATAAGAGGTGAAGTGATATGCCCAAGTCACATAGATAAGTAGCAAAACTGGGATTCAAAACTGAGTCTTCTGACTCCTTATGTATTCTACTATGAGAGGATGAGGCACAAACAACTTTAATATTTTGGAACGGTATAATTGGCTTTGTATTTTGCTCTCTCTGTCTTCCTTGGCTGGTCAGTGGTAGGATGGGGTGATAAGAAAGGGACAGAAAGACATGACAAGCTTTGGAATACTCTTATGCAGGGAGTGCAGTGAATAGAGGCAACAATTTAAGAGGATAGAGGGATTCAGGGAATGAGTGGAAGGATGGAGAAAGGGATCTTTATCTTATCTCGCCCTACAAAGTCATTGCTATTATTGTTATTGATATTGGTTAGAGTTTTGGCATGTTAAGATTGTATGCCACTTATGGTCCCAGGGTCTTCTAAATCCATGAGGCCAAGGACATGTGCTCTGTAGGGATATTTTGCTTTATTCTATAGAAATGTAAATAACTTTTAAAGGGGGAATGGAGTGTTTTTAATGGCTAAATTGCTAGATTTGGAGTCAGGGGAATTCAGATCCCATCATTGACACTTAGTTGTCTGGGAGAAGAAGCAGGTCATTTCATCTCCTTGTGCGTGTTTCCCCATCTATATAACAGGCATAATAACATCCATAACAACTACATAGGGCTATTGTGAGGCTTAAAGGAGAGAATCCATGTAAAAAGCTCTATATGCTTTAAAATACTATGTAAACTTCAGCTATCAACATCATTATCAGTGCAGGTGAGTTAGAAGGTGGCAACGATGTTGGGAAGAGTCCAAGTTGTGCCTTAGACATACACTGACACAAATTAAAGGAGCCCTCTTTTAGTTACCTGCTAATTATATGAGTGGGGTGATCAGAAAGAGGGAAGAAAACGTAAGTCTCTTAGTGTAGTCCCTGGTATGTTTCCTGTTACAAGAGCCCACAGGAAAGGTGCCCCAGGATGAAGATACTTGGGGTTGGCGTCCACTTAGGACTATATTTCACGGCACATACACTAGAACACATGTTACCAGGAAACATTCATGAAGAGAACATTCAGATGGAATACTTGGTATGTGTGCATGTGTGCGTGTGCGTGTGCGTGTGCGTGTGTGCATGTGCATGCATGTGTGTTCAGCCAGGATTACTCACAATTTTGAACAAGCAAAGCTGCCAACATTCTCAGCTGATGCTACCACACTGCTCTTTGCTGTGAGTAGTTAAATTCTTTTCTGAGCACGGAGTAAATCCTTTGAGCATGCGTGGTGGTGGTGGTGGTGGTAGGGAGCAGAGATGGACATAAAATAGAGAAGGGGTTGGTAGTATATCACAGAGTCTATAGGAAGTGCTCCAATCCCCTCAAGCTACCTATAGATTTGGGAAGAAAGTTGAATGAGATACAGTTTGAGCTATCTGAAAGTGAGTGAAAATGAAGAAAACAGATTCAGCATAATATATCTTGAATCAGTAACCAAGAAGCCCCCTCCTATAGCATTAGTGATGAATAGAAGTGTTTCCTAGGGCATTCTTGAAAGGAGAAAATGAGAATAGGAATCAACACAGGCAGAGAAAAATGAAAAATCTCTCTCTGTGTGGAAAACCAGTAGAGAAAAATCTATGTTGCTGTGATTCTGAAAAAGAAAGAGGAAGTGGAGAAATGTAAAGGTGCTGAAAGCTGTCAATAGATGAGACTCTGGTGAGTTTCAAGATTGACATCTCTGCATAGAGACATGATTAACCACCCACCCTTAGATGTCCATAGGATGATAGACCAAGAGCTTTTGAAAGACCTAACTGCTTCATCAATAACTGAGGGACTGACGATTCATTGGCACTAATATTATTCTTAATAGGAAACCTGAGCCTGCAGGGTATAACTAC